TCGACGGTTTATCGAAAATATAGGTTGCTTCTTAATATCGATATTTTATCGAATCAACTAAATGTGTTGTGAAATACGTAAAATTAATGGGGACTGAAAACCATTGTTATTTGGGAGGTTTCAAATTTGTTTAAAAAACTGAAAAATGAATTTTGCGATGTTTGTCAGTTTTGTTATAAATTGCTTATAAATTTTTATCTCGAAAATTATTTATCGAATTTTTATTCGACAGTGATTTATTGTAATATTTCTGTAACGAACGAAATTATAAACGAATTTTGAAAAATTTTATCGAGAAATACTTATTTCATGAATTTCTGTAAACAAATTCTTGTTCTACGAGCTCCTGTGTGACTTGGGGTAAAAAAATTTATAATGCAATTTTCATGTAAATTACAGAATGAAGCCTTCAATTAATTTAATTAATGATCAAGTATAATCAACGAGTGCAACAAAAGATCGGTCATCAATGATTACGATCATTAATCACAATTAATGAATAAAACGAAGTGAATAGTCGAAGAAAATGAATGATCGAACCGGTTTGATCGTGATAACAATTAATTGATTAATTAATTAATGGTTACGTTACAATAATTACTTCCAACTATCAATTATGAAACTAATCACAGAGCAATCGATTAGTATCCCCTGTAATTTGCATGATAATTATATTTCTATTTTATATATGTACATATATACATCGCACGTGCATATATCACATGTGTATGTATATGCACATTAGTCACATATGTCATGTGCATATACAATATACCGATGCCAACCCACAAGTTGGCGCGTAAGGCTGACATGTTTAGAGCTCCGATTGGTCAGAATAGAAAAATGGACGCCTTTTTCGGTATATTGGCTCTCGCACACCAATTAGGCCAAAGACAGTCGGCAAACGTCTCGAGAGTGAGATAGTGCGAATTGCGTTCAGCAGTTATTGTCATTATTCTTATTTGCCGAAATGTAACTGGAAGTGTTCACGGTGGGTTAGGTGGAGCGAGTGGCTTCTTTTACTCTGGCTCGACCTATGCGCCAATTCCTGGCTTGTCTACAGTAGAGACTGTGATGATCCAAGGGAACGTAGGGATTCTGGAAGCTAGGAAATATGGCGATTCCGAGGACTGTGAGAATCTAGGGAATTCAGGAACTGTAGAGAATGTGGGGATGTGACGTAGGGATCCAGGGACTGTGGACTGTGGAGATCCTGGCGAACTTAGAGGCACTGGAGACTGAAACTATGGATATGGAATCTGGGAGTCTTAGGAACCATGAAGACTCTAGGGACTATGGTCTAGGTATCCTAACCTATAGTTCCCAGAAGATTCTCGAGAGAGAGTGGGATAGCCAATTGCGTTTAGCAGTTATTATTCTTATTTGCTGAATAATGTTACATATATCGTGCGTATCGTGTGTGCATGTGTCATGTCACATATATCGTGTGTATCACATGTGCATATCATGTGTGTATGTATAATGTCACATATATAGTGTGTATCATATTTGTATGTATCATATCACATATATCATGTGTATAAACAGTGTACATTCATATATAACACATATATCACCTATGTACATACATACGTCACATATCACACATGTACCGTAAGTATAAACATATGTACATTTAATATTCTATTTAAAATATGAAAATGTAGAAACACGAATATAACATGAAATGTCAAATAATACAACAACTTTCAATACAAAAGTTCCAGTTGACAAATTCAGGAAGCTCACAGAAAACCTTAAGACGAAGAGCCAATTAGAATGTCGAACAATTCAAAGCGAAACGTGCATCTAAATTGATAGCAGTTGCAGGAAACAGCATGTAAGAAGCTTATAAAGAGCTTACACTGCGCCTACTATGTCCTCCACCATTCAAAATCGCTTTCTTCCGATGCTACACAATCGTTCAACCTCAATTCACAAACTTGGCTCTCTGAAAACTTACTCTAGTTCGCTGAGGTTTAGCACGGCTCTAGGTAAATTCAATACCCAAACTGAGAAAGTTTCAAGTTTCTATACGAGTTGGGAGATATCACGTTCTCAAGTGTTAAGGTTAAAGACTTTCTAAGTTATTAGATTCGTAAATATCAAGTTTTTGATATTATTTCAAGTTTTGAATTTGTAAATCTTGAAATTCACAAAACTTTAAATGTGTAAATCTCCTAATTCTCAAATTAGTATACAAGTAATTAAACTTCCAAGTCACCACGTCAAGCCCCCAATATTCAAATCCCAAAATTCTCAAATTCCAAATCCCTAAATCCATAAAACGCCAATCTACAAATCCCCAAATTTCCACATCACTTCAAAATATTCCAGACCTCCAAATTTCCAAATCCCCAAGTCCATAAATCCCCAAATCCCTAAATCCCCAAAAGGCCACATCACATCAAAACTTCCCAGACCTCCAAATTTTCAATTTTCCAAATCTCTAAATTTCCAAATCCCCAAGTCCATAAATCCCTAAATCTATAAATCCCCAAATCTCTAAATCTCCACATCACATCAAAAATCCCAAATCTCCAAATCCCCAAATTCCCAAATTTCCACATCACTTCAAAATGTTCCAGACCTCCAAATTTCCAAATCTCCAAGTCCATAAATCCCAAAATCCCTAAATGTCCACATCACATCAAAACTTCTCAGACCTCCAAATTTTCAATTTTCCAAATCTCTAAATTTCCAAATCCCCAAGTCCATAAATCTCCATATCGCATCAAAAGTCCCAAACCTCCAAATTTTCCAAATCCCCAAATTCCCACATCCATCACTCAAATCTCTAAATCCTCAAATTCTCAAAACCAAAATACCCAAACCCACCCTTGCCAAATCCATTCGCAGACCAAATTCGCAAATTTCGCTTAAAAATCCCTTCCTCTTAACCGCAAACAATCGTTCCACTCCAGTTCGCCCGTCTCCCTAAGTACCTCTCCTGAACCTCTCAAGTATAAAACGTGTATAAGAGTAACGAAAACACTCCAGAAGTATAATATACATGTAACAGCAACAAAAACACCCCAGAAGTGTAACACGCATACAAAAGCAACAAAAACACTCCAATATTATACAATACAATTTGTGATCGTTAATATTCCAAACACCGCAGTACAAGTACAAAAGTAGTGTAAAATTTGTCCACTTTCAAACTCTATTTTTCTCTTTCAAACTGTCTAATCGATCAGTTCTGGTAGATAAGAAAGCTCGTTTATAATAAGTCAGCATTCAAGGTACAATCTAATGTCTGTTCGGTGGTGTGCGTCAAGTGAATACCTTATCGTTCGATTCGCTTCGTTTGTCGAGTTCGTTGGTTAGGGAGAAAGGCAGGAAATCGCGTGTGGCTACAACTTGTGAGGTACCCGATCCTACCTGCTCCAACCACTATTGCTATCAAATTGAGCTGTATATCTACAGTAATATACACTCCACGGTTAATGTATAACTTTCCAACTGTTCTTTAGAGGAGACCGTCTCGGTCTAAAAGTTCCAAACACGTGGCGTTAGCAGATTATACGATAGGACAATTATATCGATTTTATTTGATAATGTACAGGCTACTTTAAATTATGGGTGTAATTATATGGAATTGGTGTTCTTCCAACTTTTATATTTTTTGGCGAATTTTTTGTGGATATGTGTTATGAATAAACATGTGTTGTGACTTTCACAATGATGGTCAGTTGAGGAGATGTTAGGTTAGGTTAGGGTAATTATGTGGAATAGGTACTTCTTTCATGTTTGATATTTTTTAGCAAATTTTTAGGTAAACATGTGTTATGACTTTTACAATGATGATCAGCTGGGCAGATGTTAGGTTAGGTTAGGGTAATTATGTGGAATAGGTACTTCTTTCATGTTTGATATTTTTTAGCAAATTTTTAGGTAAACATGTGTTATGACTTTTACAATGATGATCAGTTGGGGAGATGTTAGGTTAGGTTAGGGTAATTACAGGGAATATGTACTTTTTTCAAATTTGATATTTTTTAGCAAATTTTTAGGTAAACATGTGTTATGACTTTTACAATGATGATTAGATGGGGAGATGTTAGGTTAGGTTAGGGTAATTATGTGGAATAGGAACTTCTTTCATGTTTGATATTATTTAGCAAATTTCCTTGTAAACTTATGTTATGAATTTTGCAATGATGATTAGTTGGGCAGATGTTAGGTTTAGTTAGGGTAATTATATGGAATAGGTACTTCTTTCGTCTTTGATATTTTTTGACAAATTTTTTTATAAACATGTGTTATGAATTCTGCAATAATGTTCAGTTGAGATGTTAGGTTAGGTTAGGTTAGGGTAATTATATGGAATAGATACGTTCTTCATGTTTGATATTTCTTGGAAAATTTGTTTCAAAACATGTGTTACAATTATACATATGTGTAATTATTCATGTGTGTGCATAATTCCTTGCAAGCTTAATAGAGAAATTTTAATGTAACTAAATATTTAAACTGAAAGCAATTGAACTAAAATATTTTTTAACGAAGAAAATAACCTTGATGTGACCTTCACCTGACCTTGAAAAAACCTTCAACGTAACCAACAAAAAGTCCCCAAATTTGAAATATTACACCATTTAATTGTCCTCTTACAATATTGTTATGCCTCCATCGCAATTTTATTGTAAAATCATCCTGATACATGATTAATTTCATTGCCAAATCGTCATCAAACGTATTCAACAAACTCGTAACCATTATGATAATTGCTGCCATTACGAAGTCATCACATCAAGTATTAATGAGTCATTCTGCAACCTATATTTGCATTTATTTCGTGCACTTACTGCACACGCAAATTCTGTATATACTGCATTACAACAATGAAAAAAATTGTGTGATAACTGAATTAATAAATAGTAAGATAATTTCTAAACAAAAAAATTGAATTAAGCGATGAAATTTCTTTCAGAAGACAGTGAACTTAGACATTGAAATGGGAAAGGTTAATTTCATACGAACAAAATGGAGAGAACGCGTTGAAAGAATGAGGACTACCAAGTCCAAGGTCAGACACATGTATATTCATTCCGCTTCATCATCTATGTAACCTCGTTCGATAAAAATGAAAGTAGTTTAGCAAGTTAAGTGTACTCGACACACGTACACCAGCTGAAACAATTTGTCTTCGGGTCTATAGTAGTCTCTTAGTATATGGTCACTTACATGTGGCCTTTCATTAACTGATATACTAAATTCAAGATGTAGACCTTCACTATTAAGAAAGTTATAATGTTTGCAATATTTATAGATTTAAAAAACATAGGTGAAATTTACATTTTGAAATTTATATTAAACTAGGTGACGCCTTTAGTAAGGCTTTAAGAAGCTGCTTTTAAATATCAAGTCTTTAAAAAACTGCTTTTAAACATCAAGTCTTCAAAAAACTGCTCTCAAACTATAAGTTTTAGAATAAAATGGTAATAATAATTATTTTTGTTGTTATGTACGATGACGATATGTAATAATAACTTAAATTGCGTTTTTAGAAGGCAAACAATATACAATTTTTAAGATAAATGCTATTTATAATGAAAGATGTGTCCCCACAAGATGTGTTACCAGGTAACGTTGATAAATTGTAGAGGAAACAAGAAATAATTGTTTTTGAAACATACTTTTGTAGGTATTAAGGATTACTAGCAAGATTCACCGTAAGGAGCGCACCAATCGCTTATAACTCCATATGACTCCATATAACTCCATACTAGTGATGTATATAACTTCGTATGACTCCAGTCTACTATCCTATATAACTCCGTATGACTCCAGTAAACCATTCTATATAACTCTGTATAACTCTAGTCCACTATCACATATGACTCCATATAACACTGATCTATTATGATATGTATCTCCATATAACTCCAGTTTATCATCACACACATATAACTCCTTATGACTCCAATCTATTCTAACATACACTACCGTCCATAAGTATCCGGACACTTGGTTTCGTTACATAAAACATAGTTGAACTTTGTACGAAAGGTATTTAGGGTTATCATATCATGTTCTATATAACTCTGTATAACTCTAGTCCACTATCACATATGACTCCATATGACACTGATCTATTATGACACATATCTCCATGTAACTCCATATAACTCCAGTCTATCATCACACACATATAACTCCTTATGACTCCAATCTATTCCAACATACACTACCGTCCATAAGTATCCGGACACTTGGTTTCGTTACATAAAACATAGTTGAACTTTGTACGAAAGGTATTTAGGGTTATCATATCATTTGTAATAATTATTATTATCTTTTTTGAGGTGTCATAACGTAATAGAATTAATTTTTAAGTACAAATTATACAATGAAAGTGTGAAAGTAAAATTCATGTCCAGAAGTACAAAGTCCAAATTTGTGAATCTAATGGAACGCTTTCGATTCTAAAAAAAATTTTAATTTCTACTGTGTTTCATTTCTATGGTGCAGAACGTATTCGGAGGGTTCTTCGATATGTTTCAAGTGTTTGTAAACTGTTGGTAGATGTTTAGGTTCCCTCAATGGAGATAAGAATGGAGGTAACGCTACGCACTCGACAGTTTCGGTTTAGTTCGTCTGTACGTTCTATATAACTCTGTATGTCTCTAGTCTACTATCACATATGACTCCATATGACACTGATCTATTATGACACATATCTCCATGTAACTCCATATAACTCCAGTCTATCATTACACACATATAACTCCTTATGACTCCAATCTATTCCAACATACACTACCGTCCATAAGTATCCGGACACTTGGTTTCGTTAC